CAAGGAGGAGAAGAAGGAGGAGGAGTAGGCTGTAGATTGTGTACAGAGGAGGTAGAACCACTCACCCTGGCGTCAGTGTTGGGGGGGGGTCTGGGTCCGTGGCTGAAGGCCTGGGCGGGGTCTTTGTGGTAGACCTTCAGGCAGGAGTGGTCTGTGATGTTCCTGTGGGGAGAAGAGGTGTCCAGGGGTAAGAAGGCAGCCCAGATATCACCGTCAGAGTAAGGTCGCCTCTGTCTCAGCCTGGAGCGTCTCAGCAGCGCCCCCAGGGGGACGTAGCCGGACAGAGGCTCCCGACTGTGGAACATTTTTATCTAAATGTTTAGAAAAACACAGAATCCTCTGAGTTCTAACCCCAGACTTCACTGACGCAGCTCGGACCAGGACACCTGAGAGAAAGTGAGTCCAGGTTTACGACCTGAGTCAAAGTACACCGTCAGGCCGCAACAGGAAGTGCAGAAGAACGGGGGCAAAGGTCGAGTTGGCTGGAATAAAGGTGGAGTTTGATTGGCTGTGAATGGAAACCAGTGGAGACGGAGGGAGTCACAGCAGGAGAGACGTTCACTGACTGTGGGATTTATTAGTTTGAACTACTGGGACAGACTTTACCGCTGAAGAAATACACAACTAACTAAGTTAGCTAAAGGAGCTAGCTATTAGCTAAACCAGAACTGATCAAAGAACGCAGTGTTCTGAAAAAACAGATTTAAAACAGATTTAATTTGAAAAGGTTTCAATTAATTTGAAAAGGTTTCAAACAGATTTAATTTGAAAAGGTTTCAACCCCGTCAACGTTCAACCACGTCAACGTTCAACCACGTCAACGTTCAACCACGTCAACATTCAACCACGTCAACATTCAACCCCGTCAATGTTCAACCACGTCAACGTTCAACCACGTCAACGTTCAACCACGTCAACGTTCAACCACGTCAACGTTCCCACTCTAATTCAAATATTCCAGAGTGAAACTTCCTCCAGGAGACAAAGGGAAACTGCTTTGCTTTTATTCCAGAACAACCTTCTGTTCCATGCACTGAATGGAAACAGGAAGAGAAGTGGTTTCCTGTCCAGTGGCACTTCCTGTCAGGGGGGATTCAGACAGGAAGTGCTCAAGGAGGGGAAAAGTCAAGGATCTTTGGAGGAAGTGGGAATCTATGGAAAACTGTGAAAGCACACACACACACACACACACACACACACACACACACACGTTGTTGACGTTGAGGACGGCGTGAGCTGACCTGACGTCAGAGAGCTCGTAGTAGACGTTCCTCATGTCGTCCTTGACGTAGACGGCCATGCTGGGAGACTCCAACATCTTCATGGTCAGCTGCTGAGGGAAGGCACTGACGAACAGAGCTCTGACCGTGTCCACGCTCGTGATCTCGTTAGGCATCCGGATCTGTTTGGTCTCGTCCCCGTACTGAAGGTACAGCACACCTGAGGAGGGAGCAGAGGGG